TTTTATTTTCTTTTAATGCTGAGTAATGTTACATTCTGTATACAAACCAAAGTTTCCCTATCCATCTACTGAAGGGCATCTGGGTTAGTTCCATAATTAAGCTATTGTGAATTGTGCTGGTATAAACATTGATATGGCTATGCCCCTGAGTATGCAGTTTTTAAGTCCTTTGGGTATAAACCAAGGAGTGGGATAACTGGATCAAATGGTGATTCCATTCCAAGTTTTCCAAGGATTTTTCATACTGCTTTCCATATTGGCTGCACCCATTTGCAGTCCCACCAGCAATGTATGAGTGTGTCTTTCCCCCCACATCCTTGCCAACACTTACTGTTTTTGTATTCTGTTTTGTATTATGACTGGATTGAGATGAAATCTCAGTGTAGTTTTGATTTGCATTTCTCTAATTGCTGAAGATATTGAACATTTTTTTCGTATGTTTGATGATTGTATATCCTCTTTTGAGAAGTGTCTGTTCAGGTCCTTGGCCCATTTATTGATTTTTTTTATTTTTATTTATTTATTTTTTTTTTTGGTGTTAAGGTTTTTGAGTATTTTATATATCCTAGAGATGAGTAGTTTTCTACTTTTCTTTCTTTATAAACATGTTGTCTATGAATAAAGATAGTTTAATTTCTACCTCTCCAATTTTTCTTCTCTCTCTCTTATACACACACACACACACACACACACACACACACACACACACAATTTCTTGCCTTACTACACTGGGTACTATCTCTAGTAGTGTTGAATAGAAGTGGTCAGAATAGATATCTTTGCTTTCTTGCTGATCTCAGTTTGGTTTTTCACCATTAAGTGTGATATAAGCTGTAGATTTCTTTAAAATGTCCTTTATGGATGAAGTTTCCTTCTATTTCTATTTCACTGATAGGCTTCTTATTTTGTTTTAAATATGTATAGGTGTTACACTTTGTCAAAGGCTTTTTCTCTTTTGAAATGATCATAGCTTTTAAAAATATTTTGTTATTTGATGAAGTACATTTGTTATATTCTTAATTTAGGTTTCAATTGTTTTTTTTCTTCTTTTTTACATTGCTGGAATTGAACACAAGCTAGGCAACTACTCTATGATTGAGCTAAATCCCAATCCCTTCTAACTTTTTAAGGAGAAAGTTTAAGATAATTGATTTAAATCTTTCATTATTCCTAACATTTAAAGCTATAAAATTCTCTCTAGTCACCATATAAGCTGAATCCCATGTTTCAATATATTTTAATTATTATTAAGTTAAAAAAAATTTAAAAAATTTTGGACAGAATGCCCTTATTTGTTTATTTTTATGTGGTGCTAAGGATGGAACCTAGTGCTTTATACATGCTAGGCAAGTGCTCTGCCACTGAACTACAACCTCAGCCCCTAAAAATATTTTCTTATTTCTCCTGAGATTTCTTTTTAGATACATGGGCTATTTAGAAATGACTTGTTAGGATCTAGATATTCAGAAATTTTCATGATTTTTTTTCAATAATTTCTAATTTTATAGTGGTCAGAGAACATATTCTATACGACCTTCAATACTTTTAATGGTTTATTGAAAACCACTTTGTGGTTCTACAAGTTGGTCTATTGTGGGCGAATGTTCCATGTGGACTTGAAAGCGGTGTTCATCCCACTGTTGCTACTGCTGCTCAAATTTTCTAACTCTTAACTGACTTTTCTGCATATATTCTATTACTTAGAGAGTAATAATAAAGTCTCCAAATATAATTGTGAGTTTGTGTGCTTCTCCTTCCAATTGTGTCAGTTTTTGTTTCACATTCATTAAAGCTGTTACTACATATATAAATATTTAAAATTGATAGATCTTCCTAAGGAGTACATCTTTTGAATCATTATCTCTGTAAACACTTGTCCTGAAGTTTATTTTGCTTGATATTAGCATAGCCACTTGTGCTTCTTATGAAAAACATATAAGAGTTGACTTTTGATCTATTATTCGGGTTGATGATCCTGATCTTTTTTCTGGAGTTTGTAGGTCATTAATATGAAATTATTCACATGGCTAGGCTTCATTCTTTCATCCTGTTATTTGTCTTTTCCCCATCTGTTCTCTGTTATCCACCCCACCTGCCCCCATCTTTTCCTGTCCTCTTTTGGATTGGTCTCCCCCATTTCATCTCTGTTTGATGTATTGCATTAGCTACACCTCAATATTTTTGGGTGGTTACTCAAGTAACTTCAAATCTATCTTAAAATAATACTATACTTATTCACATATAATGCAACACACTACAATATATACCCCACTTTCCTCACTCAACCTTGTGCTATTTTTTCACATATTTCATTCTCATATTGTATAATATTATCCAAATGTGCTATTATTTATTCTTTAAATAGAAAATTACAACCTATAGCTAACATCATATTCAAATGGAAAACAAGACAAGGATGCCCACTTTTGCCACTTCTATTCAACATAATATTGGAAGTTCTCGCCAGAAGATTTAGGCACAAGAAAGAAATAAAAGGCATGAGAAATAGAGATGACACTTAAAGATGACACTCAAATATGTGGAGAATCTGAAGATTCTACAAAAATATTTATTAGAGATAATAAATATACCCAGCAAAGATGCAGGATACAAAGTCAGCATATCAAAATAAGTTGCACTTTTATATGCTAGCAATGAACACTCTGAGAAGTTAACAATTTCATTTATAGTAAAATTAAAAATAATAAAATACATAGGAATAAATCTAACCAAGGAGGACAAAAGACTTGTACACTAAAAACTACAAAATGCTGCTGAAATAAATTTAAGAAAACATAAATAAATGAAAAGACATCCTGTGTCCATGGATTGTAAGACAATATTGATAAAGTGACAATACTACTCAAAATGACCCATGGGTTCAATCAAATCTCTGTTAAAATCCCCAAATAGTATTTTTTACAGACATAGAAAAAAAATTCCAAATTCTATATGGAATCTCAAAGAACTCAGAAATAAGCAGAACCACTTTGGTAATATTTTGAAGCACTCACTCAATTCCTGATTTCAAAACTGTCATGTTATAGCAATCAAAATAGGGTGGTACTGCCATAAAGACAGATTTATCAGACAATGGAACAGAACAGAAAGTCCAGATTAAACCCTCAAATATACTGTCAATTGAGTTTTAATAAGAGTGCCTGGATCATTTAATGGGGAAAACAGTCTTTAAATGGTGTTAAGATAACTGGTTATCTACTTGTCCAAGAATGGAGTTGAAAACTTACCTTAAGGCACACAGAAACATTAACTCAGACTGGATCAAAGACCTTTTAAACATAAGAGCTAAAACTATTTAAAAAAGAAAACACAGGGGACAAGAGTTGTAGCTTTAGATCTGGCATTTTTTTTTTTTTTCAGATATGACACCAAAAGCAGGTACATGAGAAGAAAAAAGTAAATTAACTAGAATTTGTCCAAATTCAAAAATTTTGTACATTAAAGGCCACTATCAAGAAAATCAAGAGCCGGTACACAGAATGGTAGGAAATATTTGCAAATCATATATTTGATAAAGGATTAAAATTAACCCAACTGAGCCTCTGGCCCTAACTTCCAATTGAAAAATATGGGATAAAGGAACAAGTTAAATATTAATATGACTAAACAAGCAGACAAATATAGAACATGAGGCATTCTAAAAGACAAACAGTCTGGTAGGGTAAGATTTAAAAAAACGGAAAAGAAAACAAAGGGCAGCATGTAACCCTTGACTGAATCCTGGATTGTGGCTCGGGCCGGGTCTGGGGCTGGGGTGAGAGAAGTTTGAAAGACATTCTTAAAATAACTGGGAAAACATGAGATTGTGTTTTAAGTGTGAGAATAGCATTGTGGTTATACAGGAAAATGTACTTATGTTAAAAAATGTATATTGAAATATTTAAGGATAAAGTGTGGATATTTGAAACTTCACTTTTAAATGGTCTGCCAGAGAGAGAAAGAGAGAGAGAAAGAGAAATGTTAACACTGTCAAATGTCAGCAGAAGGTATATGGGTGACCATGCTACTCTTCCTTCCTCTTTTCTAGATGTGAAAAATTTCAAAATAAAAAGGTTGGAATAACAAAGCTATGAGCCACTAAATCATTTTTTAAAAAAAGAGCTGTGGATATCTGAAACTCCATGGAACTCTTGTGGAACTGCTTAAACTCAGTTCTGCAAAGCTCCTTGTTCTTAGTCACGGTGCAAATGGTATCCCCTGGAGTCACATAATAACACCAAAAAGGCACAGTGGTTACCTCATGTTGAGACAGAAAGAAAAAAGAATATGCAAAATTGGTTGGGGGAAAGGATAATATATACTATATACATTATACAACACACACATTTACTTTTAATTTTATATAATTGATAAAATTACTTTTTTTTTAAGAGAGAGAGAATTTTTTTAATATTTTTCAGTTTTTGGTGGACACAACATCTTTATTTTTTTATTTTATTTTTATGTGGTGCTGAGGGTAGAACCCAGCGCCCCGCGCATGCCAGGCGAGCGTGCTGCCACTTGAGCCACATCCCCAGCCCGATAAAATTACTTCTCGCTAGGCACTAAGCAACTCAGTGACACCCTGTCTCTAAATAAAATACAAAAAAGAGCTAGGGATGTGGCTCAGTGGTCAAGTGCCCCCGAGTTCAATCCCTGGTTCAAAAAAAAAAAAAAAATTACTTTTATGTAATTGCTACTATCAATTTTAGAGTATATAGGAGGTATGATGATTGGGCCAAAAGTTAAACAGAAGCTGGGTGTGGAAGTGCACACCTGTAATCCCAGTGACTCAGGAGGCTGATGTAGGAGGATCACAAGCTCAAAGCTAGCTTCAGCAATTTAGCAAGGCTCTAGGGAATTTAGTGAGACCCTGTCTCAAAATAAATAATAAAGAGAGTTGGGAATATGGCTCAAGTGGTTGAGCTCCCTTGGGTTCAATTCCAGGTACAAAAAAAAGCCAAACTGAGTCTCAAAAGTTAACCAAAAAGTGCACACACCTGGATTGATGGATGGAGGGGGTGGAGGTGGGAGAGGCCGGCCTTCTTTAATGGCAAGTGTGCACTGCTTTGCTGATCGAATTGCATTAATGAAGTCTTCATGCTGCTGTCTCCAGTTAGATTTCCTTACAGGTTGATGCTGTAAGAAAACCAACCAATATTAGTGTAGGCTATATACCCCTCAATTACAATTTCTTAAAAAGCTGGGATCTGAACTTATAGAACCAAGACTGTGAAATTCGGAGAGAAAGGAGAATTTATTTTTCAAAAGCTCTATTTAAAGAGATTTGGACACTATGGTCATAAAGTCTGCAAGTCACAATAGTAGTAAGAAAAAACAAAAATAAAAATCTGGGGCTGGGGAATGTAACTCAGTGGTAGAGTGCTTTCCTAGCATGCATGAAGCCCTGGGTTCCATCCCCAATGCTACAAAAAATAAATAATAACAATGATCAGAAAAACAAGCTATACAACTTTAAAGGAAGACAAATGGCAAGATTCAATTTCTTAATTGCTAAATGTAAAACCACTGTAATGAAAGCATAAACAAGATTTTTTTTTCCACATCTGGAAAGTGTCTGAAATATATTTGGAAATCTAAGTGAGCAAGATTATAAAGAGAAGGATAAAGGCAAATTATACTTAAATAACATTACAATGCCTTATCAAGCAAAAATAAAACCATAGAACTGAGGAATGGGCTTCAATGTACTTACTATAATAAAGAACAATGAAGAAGATATTGCTAGTACCTGGGAGTGAGTAGTCTTCCTCACTGTAAGAATGTCAGTGCCCTGTAATCTTTGCTTCAAGGAGTTGAAAGGTTTACGCTTTTTGTTGAAGAGTTTTCTACATATTGGTCCATGTCTTTCCTAGACAAGGAAGGGAAGGGATTGGAATTTTGAAAATGCACGTTACAAAGTTTTTAATCCCTAGGTGTACTTACCCCCAATCTCCCCATAGTGACTGGCTTGCTCCTTCAGAACTTACATTTTCCTTAACTCTCAGACCACAGCAGATCAAATCTAGTTGGCTCTCTTCAACCATCTAACATGGAACTAGATAATGTGTTTGGTCAAAGATAATACAAGGCCCTTTATAGCTCCTTGGATCTTGATCATCTCCCAAAGGCCCAAGCCTTAAAGGCTTGGTCCTCAGACTGGTGCTACAGGGAAGTTATGGAACCTAGAGATTAACCCCTCCTAAAGCAGGAGATCTTGAGGTCATTTGGGGCATATCCTTAAAGCAGATTGTGGGACTCCAGTCCCTTCCTTCCTGCTTTCCTTTGCTTCCTAGCTATGAGGTGAGTGATCTTGCTCTAATACATGCTTCTACCATCACGATGTGCTAGCTGCCTTGCCACAAGTCCAAAGCAACAGGGCCAGTTGATCATGGTCTGGGTCCTCCAAAACGGAGAGTCAAAATAAACCTTCTCTCTCTACCAATGGATTATCCCACGTATTTTGTTAGAGTGGTGGAAGGCTAAACACAACAGCTACACAGCTTCAACTTTGCTTTTATGTTTAACTTTAAAACTTGGGCACTATGCTGTTTGCTCCAACCAGTAATCCTTCAGGTACTCAACATTTCTGGCACAAGGAGTGGAGGACACTCACATAGAGCTCTGCCTATGTACACCTTCTTAAATCAGTTCTTGTGCCCCTATGGGGTCACATCAACTTCTTCACCCTCTTCCTTGGTGGATATGTACCACATAATAGCTATCATTTACAAAGTTGCGTTGTCCAGATTCAACAAAATACAGACTATAAAAATCACTGCGTCTGGTTAAACTGAAGGAGAGAGATCAGATCACTTGATCAAATGTTGCTCCCTGTAGTCTGGAGATAGGCTTAGGGAGTAAAACCTGGAACTTCCAAAACGTACTTGACATTTAGTGATCCCTCTTCTTATGAACCTCCTAGGTCTCACTACTCTGAGGAGGTGCAGCTCCAAGCTGGCAAAGGTAAGGGCAGTGCCCTGGTGAATTAGAGGGCCAGAGCAGGTCCTGTGAGCTTCCCCTCTGGTTTCAAGGAGCTATAACCCAGGAAAACTAGAAGAACAGGTATTTTATTTTTAAAATCCCCAAGTAAAACCCACCAGTTTATTGTATAGCCTCCAAATGTAGATTCTAGTCCAAATCCTTTATGTTCCATGAAAGTGTCCTTGATCTGAAATGTCCTGACCAATGATTGTCTTATCATCTTAGATATTTTTTTAAAAATAATCTTTCTTGGGAATCTTTACAACGTTGGGGTCTATCATCTGCTTGACCCCCTAATTTTGAAATAAGCTTTTATTCAACTTGATAGCCATCAAACCAGGGAACTTGATACACAGCTTGAATTTGGATCAGGCCTTATATCCATATATTATTTTGTTCAAATGGTCTAAAAACCCTGAAATTGGAGGGCTCTGTATACGTGGCAAAGCAGAAAACAGGAAGGCTAAAGGACTTGTCAGAATAGTGACAAATTTGCGGCTAAAAGCCAAGTTTCCAGATGCCTGAAATTCAATGCTCATTCCTCTAGACTAGCTAATTTCCCTGGTGTTTTGGCCTTGAAATTTGAATTTTTGATGCTTAAAGAAAAGGCGGAAGAGCCAAAACCTCTCAAGGGATAACCGGCTGTGCCAAGACCCTTCCATCTGGCATGGTTTTAGGAAGACCGTGGTAAGTAGGGTCACTTTTCAACGTGGCGGCGGCAGCCTGCCTCAGTGTCCTCCAGGCCTGGCAGCCATAGGTGATGCTCTTCTCTTTCCTTGTCTCCCCTCCACATCTGTCTTTAATCTTGGCACCACCACCTCTCCTCACTGACTTGACAGTTCATTTAACTTCAACGAAACACATCTATACAAAATGTCTTCATGTTTACCAGAACATCTGCTGCAAAGCGTCTTCCACAGACTTCACAGGGAAATAACTCCTGATTGCCATCTGCATAAGATTCAAGAGCACATTATGTTAGTTTCATGGAATTGCCTGGCCGAGAAGAAGTGACTGACTGGAGGTGACCTCAATAGCCTGAGGCACTCAGTCTTTTCCCTCTCCACCTCTGCTTCCTCCTCTTAAAAGATCCTTTGGAAACTCACCTCTTTTCCTTTCCTCATATAAACTTCTCACTTTACTAAACAAGTAAATTCCATCACCTTTAGGCAAACCAGAGTCTATTTATTTGGTGTTTCAGATATTCTTAAATAGCTATGCTTAAGACCTAAGTACAAAGTCAGTACCTTAGCATAAGGTTATAAATGATCCAACATCATCATCTTTGGGATTCCTTACTCGGCTGAAGGCCTAAGTGCCTATGATAGCCCCAGTGCCTCAAAAAGCCCACAGTGAGGTGCTCAGTAAGTCCTGGTTGAAGGTGTAAGCCAAACAAGAACTGAATTTCTACCATAGGGCCACTCACTCATTCAATAAATCAAATATCTACTATATGCAGCTCTGTGGAAATCCTGAGAGAGAAACCATATATGAAGTTCAGCCTAGAAAAATAGAAAGATGGCTGAGTGTGGTGGTACATGCCTATAATTCCAGTGAGTCAGGAGGCTGAGGCAGAAGGATCGCAATTTCAAAGCCAGCCTCAGCAATTTAGCAAGGCCCTAAGCAACCCAGTGAGAGCCTGTCTCTAAATAAAAATAAAAAAGGGCTGGGGATGTGACTCGGTGGTTAAGTGCCCTGGGTTCAATCCCCAGTACAAAAAAAAAAAAGGAAGACAATTTTTTTAAGTGGTTAGAAAAGTTATCAAAAGAAAAACAAAATTCTGAATGTTTAAAAATTTCTCATATATATATATATATAACTTCCTTTTGGTTTCTCTGCCGTATGTAAAGATTTTAAAAAGCAGTTTGAGGTCTGAGCATGGATTTGATATTAGAATCATCGTGTGGGCTTTACAAATAAGGGAACAACCAGGGACTGAACTGGAAGTGGAAGAGTCACGTAACACAGGTGCGAAGAGAAGAAGGGAGTTTGATTTAAAAGCTGAAAGTGGATGCCTGCAATGGAAAGGGAAACATGTCAAAGATTCTATGCCCTGAGTAGCCTGGGGATGGGGGTGGACTGTGGCAGAGAGAGAAGGGAGCTGAGGACCATGCTCAGCTCACAGGCAGAAGGCCTGAGAAGACATGGGGCTGCGGATGGAAACAGGGAGCTTGAAGGAAGGCCATCTTAGGAAGGAAAATGACCTCAGCCTTGGAAGCACCGAGTTGAAATAGAGTCATGCAGCCAGCAGGAGGGAAACGGGGAGGTCAGGGTCAGACACACAGATGCAGGCTTTGAGGAATGAAGTCAAGGCAGAGACAGCCAGGGAAGGAGTCATGGAGAGAGAAGTGCAGAGAAGATCCTTGGGGGAAACTCACATTGAAGGGCCAAGAAAAGGAGGACGACAAGCCAGGAGAAGCAGGAGAGAGCAGGGTCATGGAAACCAGGGGGAGACAATTTGCAAAAGGAAGGTCTGGTTAACAGGAAGCAGATGGTAGCCTGCTGCAGACGTTGTTGATTTAAACGATTTTTTCTCACGTCTGTTAATTGGTATCGTATTTTCAACTCGGGTCATCCACCTCTGCACACACGAAGATCTCTCTTCCCCCCTCTTCTTTGGGCCTCTGGACTCTAAAACTGGGTCTTAAATTTTACTTTCAGCAAAGTTACCACAACCCTCCACATGCTTCCTTGTAAATAAAAATGTAAAATGTTGCTTTTTCTAAAACACTTGCGAAGGATAACTCTTTTTATGAATATGACAAACATTTATATGTTCTCCTTTTCCCAAAACTCCTTCTCTATTTATTTGTCCTTCACAGCACCCCTGAGAGACTGCATTGGTACTATTTTAACAGAGAAGAAAATGGAGACTCAAGGTTGGGTAATGTCTCTAAAACCTCAGGTAACATTGAGACCTGAACCCGAGTCTCCATCTACAAGTATTCAGATTATAAATTCAATCAGCACTATAACTATAAATCTACTATTAAGTCAGCATGTAATCTGCAAAGCAACTAGAAATTCCTAGAGAATCAAATCAATGACCTTGGGTTTAAATCAGTGAGTTTTAATTAATTCAAACAGTATAAAATAATGACAGATATGCCAGGTCCAGTAGCACACACCTATATAGTCCCAGCTTTTTGGGAGGCTGAGACAGGAGGATCACAAATTTGAGACCAGCCTCAGCAATTTAGCAAGACACTGTCTTAAAAAAATACATAAATAAAAAGAACTGGGGTTATAGCTCAGTGGTAAAAGCCCCTGGGTACAATCCCCAGTACAAAGCAGAAAAGACACAATAAGATTCAATTCAAAACTTGGATACAGACAGACTACTACATGCCCAAGTTTGAAGCTTGTCTATTTCCTCGCCAGCAAAACTGAGCGTGGGGATCAAAGAGCTGCATAGATTATGGCACCATATATTGAATCACATGAAAATCATTACAACCTTAAAAGAACCCTTTGCAATAACCAAAATTCCCTCAGTAGGTGAATGGTTAAACTGTGGTATATCCATACCCTAAAATATTACACAGCAATAAAAAGGAATAGTACTGATACTTGCAACAACCTAGCTGGATCTAAATCTGGAGGAAAAAAAGTCAATTTCTAAAAGTCATATACTGCATTATTCTATTTGAATGTCAGTCTCAACATATAAAATTAAACAGATGAGAAACATTAGATTGTCGAGGGACAGGAACTGTTCTGACAGGGATAGAATGAGGGAGATCTTCACATGATGGAATCGATCTTTATCTTCTTCAGTGGTAGTGGTTATGCATGTTTAAATGGTATAGAACTGCTGGGCACAGTGGCTCACATCTGTAATCCCAGTGACTTGGGAGGCTGAGCCAGGAGGTTTGCAAGAACTTGCCTTAAAATAAAAAGGCTGAGGATGTAGCTTAGTGGTACAGTCGTTCTGGGTTCAATCCCCAGTATTATCACACACATACACAAAAAGTTTAGAACTACAAACACACATTGTACCAATGTCAATTGCCTGCTTTTGATGTGGTACTGTAGTTAAGATATAACTTGGGGAAAATGGGGTAAAGGACATATGAGATCACTGCATGCTATTTTGCAACTTTTTGTGAAGCTGTAATCATGTCAAAAAAACATTCAAAATTACTATCCAGGGGTCAGCAAACTAAGCCTGTGGGTCAAATCTGGGACTATGTTTTGTAAATAAAGTTTTATGGGAGCAGTCATGCTCATTTGTTTAGTATCTATTGTTGCTTTTACACTACACAGCAAAGTTGTGCAGTTGTAGCAGAGACCACATGACCTGTATGAGCAAATAATCATATTATTTGGCTCTTTAGAGGAACAGACTAACAATTGAAAAATAAAATATAACAATTAAAAATGCTCTGTAAGAGAATAACATGGAAAATGTTGATAAATTTTATGCATTCATATATTTACAAGGAAAGTCTGAAAAGACATATGCACACACAGAAACTACCTCTGGAAGTAAGAATAAATGTGATTATTCTGTAGTGTCCTGCATTTTCAAGTTTTTTTTTTTATACAAAGAGTATGCATTACTTTTTTTTTTTTAAATCAGAGTTAATAAGTAACTTTCAAAAACATGTATTAGAACACCTTTGATAGAAAATGTCTATAACAGTACCAACATTCCTTTCTTCCCTTCCCTTCATACTGGGGATTGAACCCAGTAACATTTTTACAACTGAGCTACATTCCCAGCTCTTTATTAAATTCTAAATTTTCAGATAGGGCCTTGCTAAGTTGCTGGTGCTGGCCTCCAACTTGTGATCCTCCTGCCTCAGCCTCCCAAGTTGCTGGGATTGCAGGCATCCACCACCACACACCTGGGATCAACAGCTATTTCTATCTTTTCCCCCTCTACTTGGATTCATACTTAGTCAACTATTATGGTGGCTATTCTTTTTAAACATTTGTTTATGACACTTGAAAATTTTTTTAATGAGGAAAAAAGTTATTTTGCTTACCAAAACAAAAATAAAACTAAGCTTCATAAATATCTGAGCTCAAAAGCTTTATAAGAAACAAAGATAAGGAGGAATAGAATAAAAAAAAGTTCGACCACTGACTTGATTCTGATTAGATACTCCTTTTCTGAGCTGGAAGTTAAAAATGCTTTCAGAGATACATGGCATGGGAGAGAAGGAAGACAATGTCTTCATTCACATGTCAACAAAGAATTCTTAGGTTCTCTGCAGTCCAGAACATGCAAATATTTAGCAATATCAATATCTTCCATGGCCCTATGGCAAGGGGCTGCCACAATGCCTCAATTTATCAACTAAATCTAGGGAACATAAGTCATGAAATAAGAAAAGGAACTAAAAACCATTCAGTTTGGATGACAGAAAGACTGCCCCATTTAATTTTGCTCTCTGCCAAGCTCCAATGAAACTGCAGTCAAGGGACAAAGCGACATGGAAAAAGAACCCGGAGGACAGAGAGGAAAGTTAACAACAGAAAACTGGGATCTAGAAAGCTGATAGACATGGTAAGTGACATGGAAGACTTAGAACTATTTCAAAATCTGTTTCCCAGGGGAGAACTGAGAACCACATCACACCACAGAACCCAAGTCATAGGAACCCTGGGGCACCATGAAGCTCTGTAACTGGTGCAGGTGAATGAGGATGAAGAGTGTCAAAGTATGAAGAACCAAGAGGAAATCTGAACCACCATCCCCCACATCCCGCGGGGAACCTCTGGATGACTGCTCGTTTCTCTAGCTGCCTCTTCTCTGGAAAGAAAGTCTGCACACTGACCAATGCAAGGGACAGCTGAAGGTGTGGGTACTACAGCAAAAACAGGCAGCTCGGTAGGTACGGATACTTATTCACATATATGACCTTCTCATTGTGGTAATTAGGTCCTATAAAGTCACCGAATCCCTGAATTAGCAAATACGGAACCACTGCTCGGAAATGCAGGGTTAGGTTTCTGTGGATCTCAGGTCAAACAAAAAAATATTTGACAATGGATCAATACAAAACCTTACTTAATGTGTGTTCCTGTTTAGAGACATCTACTTAATATATATTGCTGACCCAATAGCATTGAATTCATGCCAACTAGCATTCATGCCTGAATGAAACTTACCTAACACCCGTGCCTTTAAGGCGCATCACAGCCTGGTGCTTAGGAACACTAGATGGCACTTCAGCACTAAGCTTGGCAGCCATTTTAAACAATGAAATCATCATCAAAAAAAAAAAAAAAAAAAAAGGTACCAAGAATGGAAACAGAAAAAAAAGGAGAGCTAAGTCGACAAGTTGACCCTGAAAAGAGCACTTGTTTACAATATGAGACCTTAAACCTGAGGGCACACCTTGTTTGATCTCATTTGGGAATGTTTGTTGGGTTCCTTTTTTACGACTATGTATATCTCCAAAAAAGACTGTAAAAGTGCCCTGAGTAGTTTTGGGTGTTAGAAGGAAATTTTAGCCAGTGGTAGATTTGCAAATAGAGAATCCATGAATGAGGACCGACTGTAGGTGCATGTATCTAGATGTACATGTATGTGTCCATATGTAAATTATAGTGGCTAATCTCACAAAAAGTTACACTGAAAGCAGAGAATACCACATGCCTCTTCTTCCTCTCCTAGGCTTCCAGAACTTGCCTGCCAGACCGTTACCTTCAAGGCAGAATTGAATTAAAACTTCCCTGGTAATCTAATCATCCAACTAGGAAATACCTGAAAATACTGACATTAGGTGAGCCCTACAACCCACGCTACAACAAAGCTCAGTCTATTCAATGCTACTTGGCCATCAGTGCCAAGACATGTCTTTACGTTCTTAGAGTGGTATATCCAAAGAAATCTGACCAACATTCTGTTCTCTGTTTGGCTCATTTGACCATGACCCAATGAAGTTTCTGTTCTTTCCTTTACATCTTTATGTCAAGATGTGCTAAGGATGTTTATCTCATCCCACAAGATAGTACGTTAATCTCGAGATGGGAATAGATCATGGTTAGCTCAGAAGCAGAAGATATAACCCCCTAAGCACAGTTCTTCAGATCCAGACTGTTTACAGACAACTAAAATGTTAACCAACTTGAGTTCCTGGTTCAGAAGATACAGTTTGGGCTAGGGGTGATGGGTAGAATAAAAATATTAGCAAATTTGTTGTAATTACTGTGACTTTATTCTCCAGAATAAAATCAAATCTTTAAGTATGGAGTATACTCAGCCTAAATCACAATATGCTTCAAAATTGAGGTTAGTCACATTCTCCTAATGTGGTAACTTACTTCCTAGGACTCATCGCCTCACTCAATAACAAGAACACATGGGACTCCTATGAACTCTAGAAACTGAAGTCAGTCCCAGAGACTGTTTGGTTTATCCTTTCAAGGATGCCTTCACAGCAAATACTGACTTCACAGAGCTGGGTTTATGCTTCTTTTTCAGCTGTTCCAAAATAAAGAAGATTCTGCATTCAGATATACCATAAAGATGATTTAGGGAAAAAAATATGCATAGTAGCCTAGATCATTGATGTATGACTGAAAGTTTCCTGAGGGGAAAGAATAAAATGAAATTGAGAATAGGTCTACAGATGTACAGGCCTATTAGTTCTACTCTTAACTTGAAAAGTGGGCATGTTTTGCAAGTTTCACAACTAAAACATAAGGCCATTAGAATTTTTACCTTCTGCCCTTTATCTTTCTTCTGTCTTTTAATTAGGACAAACTTGAGAAAGCAAACCAGTATCAAGACACATGAGGAAACAAAAGTATAGACAATATTAACAGTAAGGTCACAAGGCAGTCAGAGTTCTGCTGTTTACCTGAGTTGATGTGATGACATCACAATGATATTGTGGGATACAGTGTGTCACAGATGACACTGCTGTAAACTGTAAACATGGACAGTTTACAGCAGTTAGGATATCCAGAATTAAATATAATAGTAGCGCTGAAATATTTGAAGTGGCTTCGAACCAATCGTGGACCATGCTTAAACCAAATAAAATATACAGGCAAATTCTTCTCGACTTTGTTCCTTCTCTGGGATCTTAGGTCTTCCTCCTTGTTAACCCCAGGAAGTCCAAGCACTAGAGTTACTTCTAAGTATTTTCTGAAATGCCTTTCCTATGTGCCCATTCACTCATATCCTACTTAGAGATTCTACAAATGACGGGGACTATCTTAAACACTGGGATAAGGCAAAAATTTTCTGCCTTCCTCTATTGAGAGGAGACCAAAAAAAGAGTTTCAGATGTCAACAGATGTCATGGAAAACCTAAAGCAGGGGAGGATAAAGAATGCCAAGAAGGCGGGTATGTTATTTTTAAACACATGCTCAGGAAAAAGCTTATGGAGAAGGGGGCAACTAAGCACAAACTTAAGAACCTTCAAGGGATCAGTAAGTACCAAGGTCCCCATTACAAGTGGTACTTAGCACAGTGCCGGCACTGCCAGTTATCTTTACTGCACACACCCTGCCTCCTCTGATCTGTGGTTCTTGAAGGCAAAATCCTTTATCTCTGGGAACTGCCATCATTTAGCAAGGAGCATGTATGTTCCGTTTCCAGACACTGTTTACAGACGGCTAAAATGTTGGCCAACTTGAGTGCCTGATGTGGAAGACAGTTTGGGGCTAGGGGTGGTGGGTGAAATAAAACAAAATATTAGCAAATTTGTTTTAATTTCTGTGACTTTATTCTCCAGAATAAAATCAAACCTTTAAGTAGGGAATATAATCAGCCTAAATTATGATATGCTTCAAAATTGAGGTTGGTCATATTCTCCTAACAGCAAAATACATCATATGCTGACTTAAACTTGAAAGTAGCACCAGAATCAAGTAATATCAAATGTCTACAACATTCTTGCTGATTTTGAGAAACTTCAGTTGAGACAATTACCAAAATTGTCAATCCTTTCAGGATTTACATCCCCTATATTCACATAAGCCACCAACTGACTCTTTGCTTCTACAGGTTGGCATTTAGATACTGGTAGCCAACTTCTATAATGACAAGCTGTGTAGCCACGCTTTTTATTTATTTACTTTAAAAAAAATCAATGTTGATAGAATACCTATGCTGTTGGTTTTCATATAACTCTTTAAAAAAAATTAATTTGGCAGAATAAAGTGACACCTATCAGCTTTGGAAAAACCATACTCAAATTAATTCCAGATGAAGACCCTTCTAATAAGTCAGATATCAAATTCAGCTCACCTGCCAAAAATGGCTCTGTCCCAGCCATGCTGTTCCTCATTCAGATGAATAGTGTCCACAGATTTTCAGAGTCCAGTCCATATAACACCACATTAGGCAGGGACACATGAACAAGGGCCACTTGTCAGTTGCAAGAAGTCACAGTTTACCAAATAATTAACAATTGTGATGGTGTCACTGCTTAAACTTTGGAACAGTTGATGTTACACAAAACAACTCACTGAAAGGAGGGAAAGTTTTCAATCTGTATTTTAATTAAGCATAAGTGGGTCTGAACATTAAATATGGATGAAAAGATTAAACTTTCTAGTTTAAACTGAAGTGAATAAATATCTGATTTTCAGCTAGGGATTCTTTAAAGCCAAAGAGGTTTTCTTGATTACTTCTTCAGTTTCTCTGTTTCCTGACTTCACTGTTCCTAAATCCCATAAGATAGTCATGCAGTCACATAACAGGAAATCTAAATGCTAACAACTTTAATATTAAGTTTCCCATCCTTCTGAAATGTTCTTTTTGTATACAGCAAGGGAAAACAGCTTCCTACTAGAGGAATGTTCTCATGAAAACCATTCTCACCACTGAGCAGAATAAACTCAGCATTTCAAAATTGAGTTTAACCAGGCCACTTTTCTACATACAGCAAATTAAACCATGTAATTCCTGAAAAGGCGTGGAGAAGTTTCAAAGAAATATTTGAGAACATCTGCGAAAAACAACTATGACAACCATACAAATAAATGAATACACCAATTCCGTTCAAGTTATGAAGATATTTTCCTTTAATTTATCCAAACATTTCACATTCATGAAGTCATTTATTTTAGAGCAAATCTAAGCTTATAATATTAAGTTTAAAACAATACAATATTTACAAGACAGTTGACAGGGGAAACTTGCTGGTAGGAAAACAATACAAATATTGTATTTTTCTCTTCAACATCTGCCAGTAAAAATGGCAAGCAGCCTTGTCTCTCTTAACATCCTGGATAAACTGAACATAACAAGGAGCCCATAACGGGGAACGTGCTTTATCCTCAACATTCAGCTGTCTATAGCTTTAGACCCTCAACATTCTTCTTCAAGTTCAGCAGCTCCTTTTCCTGCCTTCTTTTCTCCAGCTTGAATGCTAATTTGTTAGCTTTCTTCTCTACTCTTCGTTCCTGTATAAGAGGGTCCTCATGTTATTCATATCTTTAAACTAATAGAGACTACTTTCACAGGAGAAAACTCCTGAAATTTCCCCTCCACCAAATCTTTATAAATCTTGTATTTAAAAAACATATTTTACCTTGCGCTCCTCTTTTATAGCTTGCTTTCTTGCTCTTTTGTCTTCTTTGCTTTCATTTTTAGAACGTGGTTGGGTTGATACCTTGGGCAGATCGCTGCCATTAATCATCTGCATTCGTTCCACTTGCTTTGCTGTAAGCCCTTTCTTAGGTAAGACGTTGAGAGGTATTCCTGTTTTAGAAGATAGGTGGATTTGTTTGGGCTGAAATAAAAAGATGAAATGACACTAGAGTTATTTCCCATATCTTAAAAATAGCTCACTGCTGGTGCTATTCCTAATAGTGCTGTCAGCCACAAAGGGATAGCTACTGTGAGAAAACTTGTACACTCTTCTTCCCATATTGGACATTTCAAAAAGCTTAGGATATCAGGGCTTACCTTTGGTTGATATTTGATAAGCTGTGGATGGTTATATAAATTTGAGTATGTACCTAAAAAACAAAAGTCATGCACTAATTAAGTACACTTTCAGTTAAGCACTAAAATCCCACTATATTCCTGACCTTAGTGTTTGTGATGTGAAATAACATTGGAGTCTCTCTCAAACATTTTAAAATTATTTACAACTCATTAATAGAAATATTACTACTTCCTAATTCTTTTCACAAACCCCCCCAAAATCATGCATCAATAAGTACACTTCTAGTTCAGCATATTTTACTAAGGTCACTATATTGCTGACCTTGGTGTTTTTGTAGTACAAAATAACAGTGGAGTCTCCCTCATAAATGTTTTTAAATTGTTTATAATTCAATAATAGAAAATATTACTCTTTTAAGCCCTTTTCATAAGTTCCCTAAAAACTTACTACTAAAATAGATGTACTTTTTCAAAGCTGATGTACTTAATACTTTAAAATTACTATCACATTTATGGCAGTAGAGTAGGCACAAAGTTACTTACTGCAAATGGATTCACAATCCCACTTCTCTTTGGCTTCTTCAAGGACTACAGTAATAATCTCTTCCTCCTCAGACTCATCAAGCTCATTCACTGGTAGGTCTTGATCCTCAAAGGGTTCAAGAGTATTCAATTTTACACAGCTTTTGGTTATGTTTTTAAAAATGAAGACAAAAGAAGACGGGAAATTTCCTCGTTATTATATGTGACTAAAACAACTACAGAAACTCTTTAACAATTTTTTAAACCCACATATTCCTATGTCAGTGGGTTTTAGACATTTACTCTGCAGATAAATGAGATCTATTGGCAAGTTTATATGGTTATGTATTAAACAAGATGGAGAAGACAGAATTTTTTAAGGCCTAAAAAAGCACTAGCCAATCCATCTCTCCAAAGTATTTATATCATTCACTCCAAGTGTGTAGCTTCTTTTCCTGCTGTGGGATCTGCATATTTCAGAAATCATGGAACATCTGACCTTTCTGGCAGATTTAAACTCCTCATGAGTTTCTCTCAGAAAAAAGTCACCTTGATGCAGATACTAATTCACAACAAAATTCACTAGTCAGTTCTGCAAATCAACTGAGATTAAAACTATTATTCCTTTATAAGCCATGACTACCTATTTTTCAGAATACTCAGCAACACCCAGCACTCCATAAACATGAAAAGAAAGTGCATAAGTTGAAGTAATTCTTCAGCCAAGGAGGCTAGAAGAACCACCCTACTCCCCGTTTTCCACTGACAGTTATCCAACCATGACTCTTTTTAAGTCAAGAATACAGAAAATGTGGTTCCCAGCATGCTCCCACTGTCATATTTAGCTTTAGAATTCTTTATTTGGGGGTGGGGGAGGCGGTACTGGGGACTAAACTCCGGGACACTCAACCATTGAGCCACATCCCTAGCCCTATTTTGTATTTGATTTAGAGACAAGGTCTCACTGAGTTGCTTAGCACATTGCTTTTGCTGATGCTGGCTTTGAACGAGATCCTCCTGCCTCAACCTCTTGAGCCGCTGGAATTACAGGTGTGCACTACTGAGCCCAGCTGGCTTCAGAATTCTTAATATCAAAATGCAGGCAAAACTGACAAGCAATCTATGAGCCAAAGTTTATAAGAAATGTACTATTTCCTTATTAATGGAATCTGACAAGAATTTCACTGTAGCACTACAAATCTCATTTGGAGATGGGGTGGGGGGGAAGCAGCTAAACAGGGAAAGGAAAGTTTACTTACTTCTCTGCCTTCTCTTTATAGTAGTCATTCAAAACCTCCTGTAAGCGATTGCTATCTACTTGAACGGAACCTTCCAATTCAGCATTATCCAGAGCTCCAATCTCAACATCATCATATTGTTCATAAAACTTGAAATAGAAAAAACATACCATTAAAAATAAACAAATTCATTAACTCCAGTATTTAAATGTTGTATGTCAACATTATTTCTACTCACTATTTAAAAACTACTTTAAGATCCTAACTACCATTAAAATATCTGCAGGGATTTAGCACCATAATAGGATATAAAAGATATTTCAGATTTCAAGCCAGTATTCCAGATTCACATTTAGACTGAAAATAGGCTTCCAATTAAAATGAAAAGGAGTTACTCTACTGAGCTTAGAGAATAAAATGCTAGGCAGAGATCCTTACCTCAGAACATTTTAAAAACATCTTCAGGCCAGGCATGGTGGTGCGCATGCTTGTAATCCTAGCGGCTGGGGAGGCTGACTCAGGAGGATTGTGAGTTCAAAGCCAGCCTCAGCAATGGCAAGGTGCTAAGCAACTCAGTGAGACCCTGTCTCTAAATCAAATATAAAATAGGACTGGGAATGTGGCTCAGTGGTTGAGTGCACCTGAGTTCAATCCCAGGAACAAAAAAAAAAAAAGGGACTGGGGTCGTGGCTCAGTGGTAGAGCACTTGTTTGCACATGTGAGGTCCTGGGTTTGATCCTCAGCACCACATATAAAAATAAATAAATTAAATAAGGTATTGTGTCCATCTACAACTAAAAACAAAAACAAAAACAAAAAAACAAACATTTTCAAATTCTTTGGTTATAAAGACTAAAAGAGCTTGTAATTGAACACAGCCTCCTATTAATGTATAATTCTATTTTTCTTTGGATGGTATTTATTATATTATTCAAATAGCATTTACAATGTTAGCCTTTGTCAAAGAGTATGCAAATGCTGATGTATCTCCTGACAAGTGAGGTTATTTGTAGTAACAGTTGGCTTCTTTCTTTTTATTCTTTTGGTTTGGGGAAATGAACCCAGGGTTTTGCACATGCCAGGCCAAGAGCTCTTGCCATATCCCCACCCCTTTTTAAAAATTTTTGAGACAGGGTCTTAATAATTTGCTTGGGCTGGCCTCGAACTTTTAATCCTCCTGCTTTGGACTCCTAAGTAGCTGGGATTACAGGTGTACACTACCACCACACCCAGCAACTGTTTGCCTCTCTTCACAGAAGAGGGAACCTAACATGTTATGAGATTGTAGCAAAGTTAAAACCGTCTTGGGTTTACCTGGAAGGGAACCATTCCTTAACTCACTCATCATTTATTGGACAGTGAATGCCTACTGTATACCAGATACCACGTTAGGGCTAGGCATGTACCAGTGAGCAAATCACATAAGAATCTCTGCCCTTGGCAAACTAACATTGCAATGTGAGACAAATCTAGATACAACAAACAATAAATAAGCATGTTAAGAGAGATGATACGAGGTGGAGGAAAGTGCTACAGGACAGGATGGGTGAGACTAAAGATAGTAAAGATAGTCTAGAGAACAGGATTGGAAGCTTTGGAGAAAACTCATGATAGAAGAACCAAATCAAGTACACTACAATTCAGGCTTTGAAAGAAAGTCATAGCTTTTTTCTCATTTTTTTAGAAGTACAGTTACTAGAGAAAATACTAAAACATCTTTTATGGGGACCTCACCTTCTCAAACCTCTCATCATGTAGGGTCAGTTGTTCATTTCTCCTCATGACTGAGGAAGTCATAGAATACTCTGTAAACCGACTTTTTGTTTCCTCATCCCAGAATAAGTGCTTTTCCATGGGTGTAAGAGGTTTCCCAGGGGCAGCCATGTCATCATCTGACACCAGGCCTGCAGTGTCATAGTCATCGTCACTACCGCTCCCCTTCTCATCGTCCACATCTTCCCACTCGCTACCATCTTCACTTTCACATTTCCTAAATTCCAAGAGTCATAAGTTAACTCGTCAAATAATTTAATAACAGATCAATTCAACTTTACATAAGTAAAACAGGAGGGTGTTTCAGGAAGGGTTCTTATACAGATGGGAATAGAGGTGCTGATGGGATAAGAAAAGCAATGAAGTGGCAGCTGATATTTGACTTTATTCCCACCAATATATAAAGAGCTGATGTCTCAAAAATATTTTCTGCTCTAAAATAAAGATGTCTCAGATTAATACTCTTGAAGGTCTTTTCCTACTAAAACATGGTAGTCCTCTCACTGAAGGAGCCGGTCATGTCATCTGCACTTTGAAACAATTCACACATACTGTATATCCATTCTCTCTTCTCCTGTTGGCTTATTAGCCTGAAGAATAAAGTCATCTTCAAGTAGGTTATCTGGATTATCAAAATCAAAATCATCATCAAGAGCTGCAACAATGTCTGGATCAAAATCCAGTCGAGGTCCTAAAAAGAAAACAAAAATTGAGCAATAATTTCCAAGAAAGCATCATTCATCCACTTTATATAACCTGTGTACCCATAATATAATGTACCAGATTCTATTTAGTTAGTGAGGATAAAGGAATGATTTAAAACCTTAAGTTCAGTCCAGTTAAAAACAAGAGATGAAAGGCAAAATTTCTCTTCCAGTATCTACTAGGAAAAACACTCTTCCACTGCAGATGTATATTAATCTATTTAGCAACTCAAAGCTTTCACGTGCAGGAAGAAACTGGGCTTTAAAAATTCACCTGCTAGAAGTAATTCAAATTAAGTATTTATACACTATTACACTTTTTCTCGAGATTTTAATAAATCTCAACCTGTTTCTTCGGTGATATTCTTCCATCTAATGAAAAAAAACTATGAAGTTAGAGAAAACCTTTCAAGTTCAACCTTCTGATTTGACACAGCTTCCAATACTGTCTGATACATGGCCACTGCTTAACTTTTCAGCTGCATTTCTTTGTTTGGGGAAGAGGGGCTACGAGAGATTGAACTCAGGGGCTGTCAACCACTGAGACACATCCCCAGCCCTATTTTGTATTTGATTTAGAGACAGGTTCTCACTGAGTTGCTTAGCACCTCACTTTTGCTGAGGCTGGCTTTGAACTTAGACCTTCCTGCCTCAGTCCCCTGAGCCACTGGGATTATAGGTGTGCGCCACTCCACTTGGCTCAGCTGCATTTCTTACTAATCTTCACCCTTCCTTCTGGCATGCTAAAATGCATGCAGCTTCTGACATTCAGTCTTCTGTGTGGGATAAATTCTCCATCCCTCCCTCCCTCTTCCAAGTGACTTTTATTAAGAAATCAACTGGGGGCTAGGGTGTTGCTCAGTGGTGAAGTGTTTGCCTTACATGCAACAGGCTCTGGGTTTGATTCCCAGCACCATGCAAATAAATTTTAAAAAATTTTTTAAAACAGATTAACCTAAACATCCTCTAGGCAGTCTTGCCTAACAACCTGAAGCTGGGTCTGGAACCCTTTGCCTCATCAGTATTTACCAATCTGATATTACTATAAGTTAGCAGTTATTATTTTTTATAACTGAAGTAAAGTCCTTGAGATCAGGGACCATGCTTTGTTCTGTTTAACCTAACACTCTAGCAACTTAAGTCTGAAGAAAAAAAAAATCAATAAATCAACGCAAATGTTAAGTCAATAATTAAGGCAACTTGGAAGAAAATATCAAAACACTACTTGGATTTTTGTGTTTGTTCTAAACTACAATGTTGATGCTAAAAACTTTTTAAAAACCAGTTTCAGTGTACCTTGAATAGGTAGTAAATTAAAACTTCTTTAAAATATTTATATACTCTTAGGAGAAATTGTGAAAAAGATTATTGTTCAAAATTATAGTATTGTTAATGAATGTGACACTGTCTTTGTAAAAGGCTAGGTGATTTAAAATTTCTCTATTAGACTGCCATAAACTTGAATTTCTCAGAGATCCCCTTCAATTGAGGAATTTGATGGCACAACACAAAAGGCTGCTAACCATATTTGTCCCTTCCTCATGATCTTTAACATGAATTACAGACACATCTCAATTGTTTTAATCCTATATTAAGGTTAGCAAAATCCTACATCATTACATTTCTGTTTGTAAAACACAAATTTATCCATTTGAAAACTTACAGAAATGAAACACACCTGAAACTGGAGCTGCTTTATTTAACAACCCAACATCTTCCTCAAAATCTGATGCAAATACAGATGAAGGCAACTTAATTCCAGTACTCTTAAAAAAGAAATTAGACAATTGTTAGGCTTACTTTGAAAATACTTTCCAACTACTATACTGGGCTGAAAAGTGTCCCCTCAAAATTTATGTCGACCCATCCCCCCAGACTGTGACCATATTTGAAATAAAGTCTTTCATGGTTTGATTATGGTCTGTTTTCTTTGAAACTCAGGTTAAAATTTATTCCCCATTATAAGGTATTAGAAGTGAGACCAGGTAGGAAGAGGTGATCAGAGCTCTGTTATTATGAATGAACTAATCCATTCATGTGACTACAGTGGGTCTGCTATAAAAGTCAGTTTGCTAGGTCACTCACATGTTCTCTGTGATGCCATGACTCTCTGCCAGCAATAAGGGCATCATCAGATGCAGCCCCTCAACCTCGGACATGAGCCAAAATAAACCTTTTTTCCTTATAACTTACTCAAGACTGTGGGTGTTATTAATAGCAAAAGAAAATGCACTAAATCTTGTACAAGTAGTTAAGATGAGGTCATACAGAACTAGGGTGAGCTCTAGTCAGCCAGTATGCCCTTAAAGAGGCCAGGAGAAGACAGACACATCAGGGAGAATGTGATGTGAAGATGGAGGCATGCTGGAGTGAAACATCCATACGCCAAGGAACTCTAAGGACAGATTGCCACCAACCTCTAGAAGCTACAAGTAAGGAAAGCAGGAGAATCCTCCCCCTGAGCCTCTATGAAGGAACTGAACCTGCCAATAATTTGATTTCAGATTTCTGGCCTCCAGAACAAACAAACAATAAATTTCTGTTAGGTCATGTAGTATTTGGTAATTGGTTATCACAAACTTAGGAAATGTTACAACATTCTGTAATCTCTCACCTGTGTGCCACTTACACATTTGGACATACAATTCCACCATCTAAGATGTGCATTTTAGTGAAATAGAAGCTTAAAAGGGTAAAACATTATGTCTGCCTGAGACTGGTCACTGAGAGAGGTTTCAGGACTCAAATCCAGATCTTGTAACTCCACTTGCCTAAAGTTTCAAAACAAAATTAATCTTTTTCTCTTAAGACTAGAGATAACATCCCATCTCTAGTAACAACAAAGCCTTTCTTTGCATCAGCTGTCTTAAATCCTACAGTGGTCATAATCATTCCTCTCTGTCCCTGTGTCCTTTTGAACTCTTGCAGAGAATGACTTTACTCCCCTCCTTCAGGCACCATCCAATTTATGGACTAACCAAGATGTAGATTGCCCCAACAGCTGCTCCATTAGTCCACCCCTAATCTAACCTTCATACCTGTCTGATTAAACTCCCTTAGTATTTTCATAAATTTATAATAGGTTCTCATTCTTCACTTTGTACTTAAGCTCCCAATTTTTCAAGGCCACATAAAATCAAGGCCTACCCCATATGTCCAAATTTCTTAGTAAAAGATTACTACATAAATCAAGTCCAATCCCTCACTGTCATTTGATAATTCAAAATAATTTATTGAGCAGCAATATGCCTATCACTGTGACCCACAACACTATATATACATGCACACTACATAAATGCACGCACTATACAGACACATATATTCTTAGGTTTTTTTAAACAGTACTCTTTGTGATTACTAGACAAAAAGTGGGGAAGGGCTCAGCCTGAGTAAATTTAGTGAATTTAACCATTGGAGATTTCTTCAAATCTTGGAAATAGTCAGTCACATACACGATAAGAGTTTAGATAGTGATTACTTTCCCTTTTAGAAGAGTACAACTTTTTTTTTTTTTTGGTTGCAGTAGTTCCTATTCTGAGTTTGCCGAACTATTTTCTGCCAAAGCACCATCTTCATGAAAATCAAGACAAGCTCAAGCATTATTTCTGTAATGTCTTTTCTAATTACCTTACGTTGTTTCTAAGGTTTATTCAATATTTCTGATTTTATGGTTTAGATGTGGTGTCCCCCAAAAGCTCATGTGAGAGACAATACAAGAGGTTAAGAGGAAAAATGATTGAGTTATATACTTGACCTAATCAGAGAATTAATCCCTAACAGGATTGATTGTTGACTAGATACAGGCTGAGTGTGGCTGGAGGAAGTGGTTCACTGGGGGCATGGCTATGGGGTATATAGTTTGTAACTAGGGTGAAGTCTCTGCTTTCAGATCATCATGTGAGCCGGTTCCCTCTGCCATACTCTTCCACCATGATGTCCTGCTTCACTTAAGCCCCAAGGAATAGAACCAGCTGCCTATGGACTAAGACCTCTGAAACCATGAGCCCTCAAGTAAACTTTTCCTCCCCTAAGATTGTTCTGGTTAGATCCTTTAGTCACAGCAGCAAAAAGCTAAAACATCTGGTCTATTCAATTTTGGTTTGTCACAAATTAAAGTCATAAAAGTAGGTGGGACTAATTTACATTTTTTTGTACAGCATTATAGAATATCAATGGCACTTTTGTTTTTAAACATAATTCATTTGTCCTTATAAATACAACTGAAGTATCCATTCAATAGCCTTTTTCTGTTTAAAAAAAATCAATTAGTGATTTCTTTTACCTAAAATGAATCAAGGATTAAAAGCTTAAACCTTAATATGATTCAGCCAAAGGAATATTATATCTTTATTAAAAACTTTCTCCCTAGGAAAGATAAAGAAGTTGAACAACTATTAGGCCTCTCCTCTCCCTCAATGGAGTACAGAAGGAAGTCTCAAAAGTACCCTACTTCTGATATAACAGGCTTGGGAAAGAACAGAGAAATTGGTTCTACTATGATATCAACACAGTGGTGGAATGCAGGACCTTACAAGAGCTATGTCCTAGTTTACAAATGGAACAGCTGCAGTCATTACCTCGTTCTCTGAATTGAATTCCTGAAACCTAACACTTTTAACTCTGCATAAAAGACAAGCTATGGACTAGAAGAACTATGATCACATCTTTTCTGAGGAAAGAAGCACCAGATCATGACAAGATTAGAAAACAAAAAACTGGGAATTGGTGCTCCCCCTTTTAATCTCTTCCTCTTGTCTATAATCCCAACGAAAATCTCCTTTATTTTAACTGCCAGGTAATATAAAAGTTTCCTACAGGAAAATTTACTCTACGCTAAAACAGAAGCACACAACATGGGCATCCTTAACATAAATGGAAGGGATGGAGGGGGATGAGCAGAACTTAAAATAGCACTAGTTTTATATAAACACATGCCTTCATTTCTACCTAAAAGATAAAAGTATTAAAATGGACTGCACTTTTGTTGGGAAGAATAACAGGCATTTCATTATAATCTATTTATGTTGTTTTCTCTTATGGTTAGCCTGCAGCTTTTACAAAAGTGTTGAAGATCTAAATAGTTCATAAAAGTTATAGTCTATCTTGGAACAGTTTATGATCCTGAAACGGTTATTAATGTAAAGTTAGCTGCTTTTCCTCTATTGAAAAGTGCTGCCTCACATGACTCACCAATCAGAAGTCCTGAAACTGTCAAATGTTATGACTTTTACCACCTGCTACCAGAAGAGATGGCCTACTCTTCTCCTGATGATACAGGTATGCACATACAATTTTAAGTGGAGACATGGCCTATCTGTGCTCTTCATATAGACACCATTTTTTGCTGGAAACAGTTATCTTTTTTTAAAACAACCAGTCGTTTCTTCACTCTTTCCCACATTCATATCTCATGCCTAAATTGCTGAAAAGGCTTACTGGAATTACTGAAGTTTCTTCTTTCTCATCTTTGCTGCTGTGGAAGGTACTAGCAGGAATAAGCTCTGAGGGCCCAGATGGTTCCTTCAGGTGCTGTAGGTAGTCATAGTCATCATCAAAGAATACACCATACTTCCTCTGTTCTGCTCGCCTTTCTTCATCATTTATCTTGGACAACAACAAAATGAAATTAGTATCCCTTATTTGGATAGGGCTCAGCAATACTATAAGCACAAATTACTGACTAGGAGGCAGATGGCACATGAACGATGGCTTATAGGAATGAGACAAAGAATTCTTAACAAACTCAGGAAATGCAGCACTTCTAAACCAGATTCTACATAAAATTAAAATGCAATGAAAACAAACCATTTGCAGTGGTGTATGCCTACAGCCCCAGATAGCTGAGAGAGTAAAGTGGATCCCTTGAACCCACAAGTTTAAGACCAGCCCAGGCAACATAGCAAGACCTTGATAAATAAAACAAACAGGAACAAAAACAATTCATTCTACTAAACATTTTCATGTAACAATTCAAGCTAAGAAATAAATGCATATATCATGTATTTGGAAGGTTAGAAAAGTTACAGGCTTTGAAAAGAAAGTATAATTTTCTCAATGTACTGAAGAGCTAAAATATGGCTACTGTTCCCCAACACTTTCTTTTATGTCATCTACACTTAACAAGTATACTCTAACAAAATCAAATCATCCTTTTCAAGGCTCCCTGACATTTTCCAAAGCTAATGCATGAGCTCAGATATTTTATATTTCATGAGATGAATGACCAGGAGGCAAAATGAAGTTTACAAAAAGACTATTCTAAATGGCAGATCTCAGGAAAGCAGAGGTTGAGCATATGGTTGTGTCCTAAATAACATCATGCAGAATTGTAGCTGGTGGTTTAGTAAATGTTTATCATTACTTTATAAGAATTATTCATTTAAACATCTCAAATGAAGATGCTTTACCCTCCCAATCAAAATAAATACACATTATGCAAAAATTTGGCACATGTATTGAAAACTGAATCACAGACTATTTCTCAGAAGACCAGTTATTTGAGAATCATCATTGGCCAACAATTTATTAAAACTACTAGCAGAGAATGGAGTGTAGCTCAGTGGTAGGGTTCTTGCCTAGAATATGCAAGGCTGTGGTTAGATCCTCAGCACCATGAAAAACACAAACAAATGCCCTAATAGTTTATAAATTCACTGGCTAAAGAACAGAAACTACCTTCTGCGTGGGTAACAAAACCCTCTGGGGTGCAGTCTCATCTGCTGCTAAAGGATCTCGTTGGCTCCGGTGGACCAAGTGAAAAGAGACAGCTTTCTTCTTCTCTATAAAGGGCTTTTTCTTCCTGTGAGGCTTCAAAGGAAGAGAATTAAGACAATTCATTTAAACAGGATCTAAAATAGTAAATAATACCTTAGACCTCACAGGTAGCTTCAATGAATTATGTGAAGGATCAATGGACTTTTCAGATCTACAATTTAGGGTAGGCAATGGCACTTGTGCTCTATAGAACCCATGACTTCTTTTAGAAAACATTATTAATTGGGCACTTATTCTATGACAGACCTCCTTATGGGAGATGGGAATATAACAGTGGAAGTCAGATGTAAGGTTCCTATTATCAGCAATCAAATCAACAAGAAAATGATTTCAGGTGAAGAAAATTAAATATGGTGCTGTGCCAATGACTCAAGAGTCCCTTTAGACTGGGTGCTATGGGGACCTTGCCGTGACAGGATGAATCAGGATAGTGAGCCTGCCACAAGACAATCTGGAGTAGGGTGTTCCAGACAGGTAAACATCTCTCTACCAACTAGTAAAAAAAACCAGGACACAAACAGCAGCTTATGTTTAATAAGATTCATTTCCATCTCCAAACTTTTTTATTTTGCTATTCAACCTTTATTTTCCAAACAGAAACCAACTGAGTGACTTTCTTTATAAAGGCCCAACCTTACTCTCCCACAAGTTGTCTTTCCCCCAGAGTGAACAAGAAGATATATCTGCCACTCCTGGGCCTGCAGTGATCAGCAGCTCCCGCTCCGCCCAACCCCAGGAAGCAGCGGGGTGCAGCGATCGGGTCAGGTGTCACAGGTTTTCTATGAACTGAAACCGCGCAGAGGTGCAGGCCCCTAGGGTACAAGGAAAGCCACCTCTCGGGACTACTCCTTCTGGGGAGAGTGACCGGGGATGAGGGGGACGGCCCGTTTCAGATCACTGTGCGTCAAGCAGCCTCTGACATAATTCAGACCGAGAGAGCTGCAGCCACTGGCACTACCGAAACCAACCCGGCCTCGGAAAAACTACGGCGCCGGGTCGCCGAGACGAACGAGGCTTGCTCACCATACTGCAGCCGCTCGGCACTCACACCCAAACACAGCGGCGGCCACCACACCCTCGAAATCCCGGGGGACGCCGCAGGCCGGCTCACGGGCCAGTCTCTAGGCCTAGACACACGTGCGACCACAGGTCCCGGGCGGTACGTCACGCAGCAGCCTGTGAAAACGGACCAATCACGGAGGAGCGGATGGGTCGCCGCCGGAAGTTACGTTCTTGGCGCCGTCTCAACGGTCGCGAGAGCTACGGGAGGTGGGGCTTGCTCGGTTCCCGCCCCCGGGCTGGCGGCGCTTGTCGGAAGGAATTCTTGCACCGGTGAAAGGGGGGTTGGGGGGGCTGCTCTATTGGGGTGCGTGAGGGGGTTGGTGCTTATGGTTGAGCTTCCCTTTATAGCGTCCTCTACCCAGAGCAGGGCAAATCTAGCATCCCTATTGACTGATGTCCCTTACCTATTCCCTCCCAACCGTCGCAGACAAAAGCCCTGTACAGGTGCAGAAGAGAGGTGGCTAACCACTGCCCCCACCCCACCCCCAGGTCACGAGCTGTCAGGTTCCCTCCTTTCTAAGGCGAGGGCCACAGTCGGTTGCCTAGCAACAGGGTCGGGCCTTGCTGTTGCAGGCAACCCCAGACTTGATCCGACCTCTGCCTTATGCCGTTCAATAAACTGCCTCCACCTATCCTGTTAACAAAACCTCCGAAAATGCTGACTGTAGAGGCATGGAAGTAATAAAATAATATACGAATCTCTGGCGTTTGCATATCTTACTGTGAAATTAGTTTTCTTCCAAGTCGTTCCTCAAAATGTTTTATCTTGGTTTAACCGAGTTAAGCCATAAGCATAATCTTCTTGGGAAGATTTCTGGCAGGTGCTGAAGCACTCTCAGCTTTTCTTGCACAAAATAAAATCTCCATCTAATTTCCATTGAAAGTTTTATCCGTAGTAACTATCCTCAAATTTGTGTTTCCTCTCCCCAATTACTGGTATCTTCCCCATGTCTGAATTATCTTGCAACGTGTCTATAATTAGGCCCAACATATTACCATTACAAATATTTGTGGAATATTATTTTTTCCATGCAGTAAAAATTATAGACAGGTTAGGACCGCAAAACTTGCCTCGAGACAATACTTTGAAATAGATAACACATAGCACTCTATGTGCTAGAGATTCATTATTAGTATTTGTTAGAAATTAGAAAAATGATCCAGGAGGGCAGGGTTTGTTTTGTTTCCATCTGTTTTATTTATTTTTGTATCTAATATCTGGCACATACACTCAATATTTAAGTGAATTGATATTCTAGCACTTTGCCTGAATTATCTCATCTCTTCCCCACCACAACACTGTGAGAGAGTTGTTACTATCTTCATCATCTTACAAATACTAAAAATTAAGCATTTTTTTTAAAAAAGATAAGTATACGGGGTAAAAATGGGAGTTCATAATCCACTTGAATCAAATGTAAGAAATATGATATGTCAAGAACTTTGTAATGTTTTGAACAACTAGTAATAATAATAAAAAAAAAGATAAACTAAGTGACTTTCTTAAGGTCACATGATTAGTAAATGGCAGATCAGTGCTTTAGGCCTAAGGAAACTTCCTGGAGCCTGGCATCCTAATCACACTACTTGTCGCCCCCTACCCCAAATAACATTATGCTTAGTTTACATATTTGTTGGTCTAATACAAACACTAAGTACAGCTGCTAAGCACTTTGTATTCATTACGCCATTCAATTCCTTCATCAAGTCTGCACGTACAATTAGTTAACATTAAGCCAATGAGTCTGACATTCAGAGAATTGAATTTGCTTCCCTGAGGTCACAAAGTGGAAAAACCTATAGGTATAGCTCATCTGGCTGCCTTGGGAAAGTCACTCCTTACCCATATTTTTTTACTGCCTCCTGAAGGCAGTAACCAGCACATTCTGTTGATTCTGCCTTATGACTATCCAAATGTACCACTTCATTACCCATTTTATTACGTTTATCAACATTACTTACCTGTATTCTTTCTACCCTATAGTTTCAGGATAAAGTCAATCTCTTTTATGGTAACCAAGACTTTTTTTCTATAATCTAATCTCCAGCCATCAGCTTCACATAATACCTCCTTATTCTGCCAAATACCTCTGTGATCCAGCCCTGTGAAACTATTTGCACTTCCCAAATGCATAAGAGAGACGGACTCTTTTCTGCCATCTCAAAGGCTCTTCCATTCCTCTCCCACTCTTCAAATCATAGTTTAGCCATATCTTCTCTCCCACTGAATTTTAGGCTGGAGTGCCCCAAGCGGATAGCAAGGGAGTTTCTGAAAGGGATTGCCCCAAACTGTTCTGAAGTGGGCTCAGTGGGGATTCCAAAGAAAGAAGCACTGCATGCCAGAGTGATGAGTCCAAAACATTTATCAAGAACTTGTATACAAAGGGCTTCAGTGACAGCAAATATGTTCTACATAGGTATGTTCACGACAAGGCAGTGGATTATGGAGTTTATATGGGGATTTAAGGTATTTGGTTCAGGGCCAGGGCTAGTTTCTATGTGTTCAGCAACATATTTTGATCTTTCAGCGTTTCAGCAATAACCTACACAGCTTTATCAGTGCCTGGGAATGTTCAAGGCCCCGGCTTGGGATCAAGCCTGTAGGGAAAGAAAAACATGCAGCTGGCCAGGTCACAGAACGGTCAAGGTACTCTGTGTTTCTGTCAGGATATAGAAAGAAAATGGCAGGGTCTGGGGAAATTTTTACCTTGCCTGCCTGTAGGAAACTTTCCTATTTCCTTCAAAAACTCGGCCTGTCCCAAATGCTCTCACTGTATTCTGTGATTACACTACTCTGCTCTATTACACTAAATTGCAAATCCTCATTTTCTTCTGTGTCCACAACCAGACTGTAATAATCTACTTGAAAGCAAGGATATTTGTCTCACTAACTATGTAGTAAACGTTCAAAACTAATTGTGCTGTTCACAGCACTTTACATATATTTATCATTAAATCCTTATAACAGGATTTAAGCAGATATACTGATGTTATCTTTTTTTATAAAGCAGATTGGTGATTGAGGAACAGAAAATTAAGTGAAGTTTGCCCCAGAGCACAAAGACAGTAGGTGCTGAAGCCAGAATAAGAACTCAGGTGTAGCTTGAGGATCATATCCTTAACCATGACAATGTGCCCTATTAAAAAAAAAAAATTCCAAAATACCAAATACCCAACACATGGTGTGTTCTCAGCTTCAGAGAGTTTTCTGAGTGCTGTCTTAACATATAAAAATGCTATTTTTTTAACCAGTAAAAATACTCATAACTGAAATATTATTGTAATGATATTAAATCCAACGCATATTTCTCCTACCCTCTTATTAGCGTGTTGTAATTAATAGTATCTATTTTTAAGACTCTCTGGTTTCATCTACGCTTTGAAAAAATCTTTTTCACAGGAAACTAACACACCCATTGAAATTGTTTACCATACTACCCCCATTTAGAAGGACCCTTTCAGTGGTCCTTCTACTTAGGGGACCATTTTCCATCAGCAACACTCAAGGATTCCTGAGCACCAGGAAACCAATGTACACAAACATAGAGAAAAATTGTGTAGGAATAGCCAAACTAAATAGGCCCTGAAGCAGTAACTTTACAAGTTATAAATTATATGTTTGGCAATATTAATAGTGCTTACAGAGGTACATAATTTATAAAAAGGAAAAATGCATCAAGATGGATATACCAAGATGTTCCCTGTAGCACTGCTTGTAATAGAGAAAAATAAAACAATTAAAAGCCCATTAGTAAGGAATTCATTGAAAAAAAAAATACAAACCATTCATACAGTGGGCCTCTGTGAAGCTGTTGAGGCAGATTGACAGGGACAGACGCTTCTGAAGTCAGAAGGAAAGCAGGTTGCAGAACTCCAGGGTAGATGGCATATTTAGTTGAAAAAATATTAAAATTTTTACACAGAAATATTATCGTGCAAGCATAGAAAAAATAGCTGGGATATTATGCATCAAACTGCTAATAGTAACTATCTCCAAGGAACTGGAGGGAGATTACATGGATATTTCAATATCTGTTGTAGATCTTTCATCTTTATTTATCTATTGATAGTGAGGATTTGAATCACCATTGTCCTCTGTATCTGCAGGGCTTCTTCTGTTCCAGGAACCCCCAGGATGCTCAAGTCTCTTACATAAAATGGTGTAGTACTTGCAAATAACCTAGGTACATCATCCTATATATATTTTTTTTATTTTTATTTTTTTTGGATGCCAATTTTATGTACATTCAAAATAGTAATCAATGACATGTGAATATTAAACAAACATTGAGGGAAAATATTACATTATGAGCAGCAATACCCCCAGGAAAATATTTAGCAGAATTTTTTTTTT